TACTATGTGCCAGAGCTGTTCCCAGCCTTCCTGAAGCTCACTGTCTAGTGCAAGCTGGTTGATTGCCTCCCTCCTTGCCTTTCAGAGGCCAGCTGAGTTCTCCGCTGTATCCAGAGTGAAGTGCCCTCTCCTAACCTTTCATCTCCTGGCCTCCTGTCCTTGCCTGTTGTCCCTTGTCAGTATGCACTGGTCATCGGCCTTCCTCAGTTACCTGAACTACGAGTGGCACATGGCTGCCATGTGTGGCCTGCTCTCCCTGAGGAGCTGGGTGTAGTGGAGGAGCATTATAACACAGGACAGGGAACTATTTCCGGGACAGGTGGGAAGGCTTCCTGAACCCCTGGTCATCTGTCACCCACCTCACCTGCAGCCTTTGTGGCACGACGCTAAAATGCGTGTGGGTTATTCATTTACTTATTCACCATCATTCTGTCTTGTGCAAGAGTGACAGGACCCTTGTGTAAACCGCTGTATGGCCAGGGCCTGGGACTCTGTTGGACCTGCATTAACGGCTCAGTTCATGTTGAACTGAAGAATGAATGAATGGAATCAGATTTAGTTCCTACCAAGGCCAGTTTCCATCACAGGAAATTTCTTACTGGCTGTCACCTTTTGTAGGTTTCTGCTTTCCATTGTTTCTTGAATCCCTTTCTTCCTCTCCTTTACTTTGTAATTGAGTAATTACCAAATTACTCAATTACCAAATTTGAGACATCCCAAATTGCTGTTACTTCTTAGTGCAAAGTTATTTAATACTCTTGACTCAAGCCCAAATGCCTGTATTACCAAAGTACGTCCAGGCCTCCTTTGTTCAGCTGAGACTCCAAATTGGGGTGCTAAGGGTCAGTGCTTCTGGGTTATCATTTATCATTCACACAAGATCTGTCAACAGGACTTCTACCCCACTGAGAACATCCCAGGCCTGGGGTGCAGAGAAGGGCTTTTGTCCTTGGCAGCTGGTGGGGATGATGGGGAAATGTTAGGGAAGGCTGCAGACCTGGGCTGGGGCCAGCAACGGATGGCTTCTGTACATGGATTGGAACCATGTTTGCATGTGTGATGGGGGAGGAGGGTGTGTAAGGGAGGCAGATGGTGATGTGATGACACCTGAGCATCAAGGAGAATGGGGGGGGGGGGCAGTTGCAGAGCTGGCCGGGTGTGAAAGGGGGTTTGGGAGACCATCAGGAGGCTGCTGTAGAACTCTTTCCTGTGCCACCTCTGTGTCCTGCCGGCTCACCTGGATGCCCCCACTCCTGCTCCTGGTCCGCAGATGTGCTGGGTACTCCAAAGCCCTGATCAGTCCTCCTTTGGGATGTCATGGCTCCTGTTGATCCAGACCAGAATTTCCTCCTTGGAGCCCTGGTTCTGTAGCCCACATCTTTGTTCACATCCCCTGGAGGGGACCTACCGCTCATGGTGTATGTTCAGTAAATCCTTGCAGAGTTGAATTGTTAGAACTTACTGTAAAATGGTAGATGGCTTTAAACACTATGAGCACCAACTACGATTGTCTGATTCTTCACAAATTTGATTTTTATGCCATGAAACATGATTTTTCACAAACTGCTTTTATAGGGAAGGAGATAGATGTGGAGAATTTATTCCGTGCCAGTTACTTTTCATGTGTTACCTCATTTAGTCCTCATGGTGTTTCGGTCCAGTGGCTTCTCCCCTCTGTGCCACAGGTGGGGAAACTGGGCCGCAGATGGGGAAGCAGCTGGCCGGGGCTGGCCCAGGTTCGCAAGGTGGAGCTGTGTGCAGCTGGTCTGGCCGGACTCTGGAGCTGGTGCTCTCTCTGCTGCCTCCAGTGTCTGTCCCTGTTGTAGGAAGCAGTCACAGAGGCATGCCCTGGCATTCGTTTTTTCCTACTCAGAATGAGATGTTACTGTTTACTTTCTCGGGAAGGAAGATTGAAATCAATGTAACTAGCCTTATTAACTTTTTTAAATAGGAGGGGCCGGCAGATGCCAGCACCTTTCTGAGAGAACCAGAGCAAATATAAAAACTCAATTTGCTTGCCTTTTTTTTTTTTTTAAATCTTCTTCCAAGTTTAATATTCAAAGTTGTAAATGAGGAGCTGGTGAGACAGGGGTAAGGAGCCAAGCTCAGACACCAGGAGGTATTTACCCGTATCTTTTTTGTCTGCAGGTGGCTGTTCCTTTGATGAACACTACAGCAACTGTGGTTATAGCGTGGCCCTGGGGACCAATGGGTTTACCTGGGAGCAGATTAACACATGGGAGAAACCAATGCTGGACCCCGCGGTGCCCACAGGTACGTGACCCACTGTGTTGGAGGCTGGGATGAGGGTCACTAACTTCTAGGATGACTTACGGGGACAAATGTATGGGTTGAGTGGAGAGGGCAGTAGACAATGTCCTTCGAGTAAGTTTCTCATCTCCAGGGGTAATCAAAACAAGGCTGAGTGCGTTCTTAAGGTATGTGGTAAGAATCACATGTCCCCTGGATTCAGGAACCTTTGGGATTTCTTTTAGCTTTAAGATTCTAAGCTTTAGCTATAAGTAGAGCATCCCTGGGTTTTGCTTGGGAACCTAAGAGCAGTTGGATTTGGGGTGGAGAGGAAAGAACTTGTGAAGAATGAGGTCTTTCCTTTTCTTCCAGGACACATAGATACATAACTTGTATATCTCGAGGGAAACTTGCGCAGTCAGAATATTACTCATAGTTAATGTCCTGACATCCTGAATGCCCAGCTTGTCATTAACCAGCAGGGCTAAAGGGCTAATGTGCTTTCTTGATAGATGGCTGCTTGAGGCAGGCCTATGAGAGTGACATCTGGTATATTTTAGTGGAGGTACACCTGGAGGAGAATACTCAGGGAAAACACACTTAGGGTGGGCTATGCCTGGGTGACTTGAATCTTGAAAACGTTTACCTGGGGACATATGCCAGGAAGAGTTACAACTCTGGGAACATGAGGATCACCTCTTTGGTTATGTGATCCCAGGTACAGCGGTAAAGACGGCTGGTTTGGGTGTTGGAGAGGTAACATCATATTTAATGGTTCCTCCCCATCTAAGGGCAGTCTGACCCACATACTATCTTGTTCTTTGTCCACACATCTTGTGGCACTCTTCCTCGCTCTGGCCATTAAATACTGGAGATCTCAGGCTTGTTCTATACTGCTTCCATGTGTATTAGGTTCTCCAGAGAAACAAAATCAATAGGATTTATAGAGATACATTTAAGAGGAGTTTAGTATGGGAATTGGCTCACACTGTATGGAGGCCGAGAAGTCCCATCATCTGCTGTCTGCAGGTTGGAGAACCAGGAAAACCAGTGTGTAATTTGGTCCAAGTCTGAGGGCCCTAGGATACAGGGCTAATGATATAAACCCTGATCTGAGTTCGAAATCCCAAGAACCGGGAACACCAGTGTCTGAGGGCAGGAAAAAGTGGATGCCTGTAGCTCAGGTAGAGAGAGTGAATTTACCCTTCCTTTCCCTTTTTTTTTTATTTGGGCCCACAAGGGAGTGGACGATGCCTCCCCTCCCCCCCTTGGTGAGTGCTATCTGCTTTATTCCATTCACCAACTCACATGCTTGTCTATTCTGGAAATAGCCTTATAGACACACCTAGAAATGATGTTTTAGCAGCTATTTGGGCATCTTGTAGCCCAGTCAAGTTGACACACACGGTTAACCATCACACTACAGATGGCCTTCACCACTTCTGTGCCTTTGGTTGCCATCAGACATCTCATATGAACTCTAGACCACCCACTTCCTGGCTGCCATGTCTTTTTGGCTTCCTCTGGGGAGAAGAATTTAACAGGATGCACTAAGCTATAGACAGAGAAGGCACTCAGACCTGTCCAGGTAAGGATGTGGCCTCTTTGGCCTCATGGACTTGGAGTTTGGCTGTAAAGCACGAGGCTGCTGGATGGTTCTGTATACTTCCAATTAAAGGCATAAATGGTTATGTAAGTTTTTCATGAGTGTAGATACCCGCCCCCGGTGTAATAAATCTGTCCTGTGGTACAAAATTGAACTTTGCAGATCTAGTAGGATCTTACTTTGCGTGAGCAGAGTCTCCAGCAACTACACATGCCCATTAGTGAGGTGACTGTGGGACAGCCTGTATGTGGGTTGCCCCATCATAGTTTTTAACATTGCTGACTTAATTCTCAAAGGTGCCTTGGTTTAGATGATAGAATCACTCATTCTATTAGAGTCCAGAGTACTTTGCGGAAATACACCACATCTCCTCTGTTTTGCCTGACCATCTTTGACGTTGGCCAAATGTATCCGGACCTTCTAGTATGTGTATGTGTTTGTATCCAAAAACATCTAGCCCTGCAGAGCCTTCTAGACTCTCCAAAGTCAACATGGCTAAAACTGAACTCTTGATTCATCTTTGCTCCTCTCCCCATGTACTACTCTCTATGGAACCTTTTCCTCCACCTTACTGTCTTGTGCCTCCCCTTTGTAGCTCAGCTTAAACATCACTTCCTTAGGGTGGCACTTCTAGATACTTCAGCCTGGGTCAGTTATCTCTGTAAATGTTTCCCATTGCATCCTGTGCTTTTTCTCAATGATGCATGTCACATTGGATGATGTTTGTTTGGTGTATGTTATACCCTCAGATGAGGAGTTCCATATGTGTAGGGACCATGACAATCTTGTTGATAGCTTTATCTCAGTGCTTAATACAGTGCATCATATGTAGTATGTACTAAATAACATTTTATTGGATAAATGCATGGATGGATGGCCAAATAGTCTGCACTAAGTGTATTTTATTTATTTATTATTTAAAATTTTTGTTTGCTTTCTTTTCTTTTTTTTTTTAAATCTTTATTTTTGAGAGAGAGACAGAGTGCAAGTTAGGGAGGGGCAGAGAGAGGGAGACACAGAATCCGAAGCAGGCTCCAGGCTCTGAGCTGTCAGCCCAGAGCCCGATGCAGGGCTCGAACCCACGAACTGCAAGATCATGACCTGAGCTGAAGTCGGATGCTTAACCGACTGAGCCACCAGGCGCCCTTCTTTTTTTTAAATTAAAGCAGAGTTGACATATGATGTTATATTAGTTTCAGGTGTACTCCAGGTGATTCAACAAGTCTGTTATGCTGTGCTAAGTACAAGTGTAGCTACCATCTGTCGCCATACAATGCTATTGACTCTGTTCCCCATGCTGTACCTTCTCATGACCTATTCATTCCATAACTGGAAGCCTGTATCTCCCACTCTCCTTCACCGTTGGTCCCGTCCCTGTCTTCGCCTTCCCTCTGGCAACCAACCACTAATTTGTTCTCTGTAGTTATGGGTCTGATTCTGCCTTTTATCTGTTCATTTGTTTTTTAGATCCCATATATAACTGAAATCATGATATTTGTCTTTCTCTGACTTTACTATCCAGTGTTTTTTAAATAAAGAAATGGTCAACATCTTTAAATCCCTTTGGGCCCTCTATTTAAACTGACCACGGATTTTTAACCTTTCCTGTAATCCTTCCATTTTACAGATCAGGAAACCAAGTTTCCTAGAAACTGTGTGGCATGGCTCCTTTGCCCACCGTGCCAGTCTCTCTTCCCAGAGGAATAACTCTTCTAATCTTAATTTTTCAGTCCCTCATTATGGGAGAGTGTCATTTCATAAATACCGGATTGTGCTAATACAATTCTCTGAGCTTTTCTAAATAGAGGCATTTGATAATGATCACTGAAATTATTCTGTCATGATGCGCCTGTGGATTTCAGTGGCTCCGTGTGCTTCTTAGGCAGAGAGGCATGAAAGTGAATTTGGATTAGGCAAAATTGTTTGTTCTTCTCATGGGCCAAAACTGAAATCTTACTTTTCCTTCTGTAAAACCAGCACTTTGCATCCTTTGGAAGTCTAGTTTGAGTCTGTTTATTCAGATGTTCCACACCCTTTGACTGATCCCCTTCTGTGTGACAAGCTCTGTGCTGGACTGTAAGTGACACTGTGTCATTTGGCACTTAGTCCCTCTGCTGGCTTCTCCTGGCACATGGGAAGAAATTTGAACTCTTTGCTACAGCCTGCAACGTTCTGCATGATCTTGTGTCTTCTCCAAGCTCCTTTTCTTCTCAAAATGCTCCAGGCACACTGGCTCCTTTCAGTGCCTTGGAGACTGAAAGGCTGTCAGGTTGTTGGCTGGCTCCAGACATTTGCACATGCTGTTCCTGCTCACTGGAATGGTTTTCTCCACTCTTTGTGTGGCCAGTTTCTTCAGGTGTCAGCTCAGATGACTGCTTCTCACGGACATTGCCCCTTATCAGTCTATGTAAAGAAAGATTCCCTCCTTGCTGTTCCCATGGGATCCTGTTCTTGGCTTTCAGAGTTCTTAATGTAAACATGTTTCCAGGCCAACTCATTCCAATCCTATGCCATAGCTCAGTGACTTTGGGCCCTTAATCCCTCTGCCTCTCTTTCCTCATCTTTAGCATGGCAACCAGTGTGAGAGTTAAATGAAATGATGGCTGAGTGTGAAGTGTTTGCACATGGTAGAAATTAATCAGTACTGGTTCCTCTGTGCTCTTTTTCTTTTTTTTTTTTAATGTTTCTTTATTTATTTTTGAGAGAGCAAGTGAGCAGGGAAGGCAGAGAAGGGTGGTCAAAGCATAAGCAGGCTCTGCACTGTCCGTGCAGAGCCGACTTGAACTCGAGCTGTGAGAATCGCCCTGACCTGAGCCAAAATCAGACACTTAACCGACTGAGCCACCAGATGCCCAACTCGTTTCTGGTTCTTAACAATCTCTGGAGCTGTAAGTCTAAGTTCTTCTTAGAACCATGTCTCCTCCTTCAAGTTCTCCTGACCCAGATGCTTCTTTACCCAGGTGCTTGACTCAGTAGGTGGTCTGCGTGGGTCCCTGAGAGACCCAGAGAGGCTTTTCAATACCCAGGGTACTTACTGCCTTGCGGGCTTGCACACCTCCTCTAGCCCAGCTCTGTCAATTCATCACTCCACACCATTGCTTTCACGGCTTGTCCTCATCCTTTTCCATGGGAAAAGCCCTTGGGCTGGCATTCCAGGCTTCAGACCTCTGACCTCATCTTTGTTGGGGCTGTCACAGAGGAATGGGGATACTACACCCACAGACCCTCTTTCCAAGCCTCGATCTGGTCCGTAGAACTTTATGCAGTTTCCTTTGGTTTCTAGCTGTGCCTTTCCCAGCCTTGGCATAAGTGTCTTGGGGACTGAAGGGGACTGAAGTCTCTGAGTGTCCTTTTCAAAGGGCTGAAGCCAGAGGCAGTGGGGCTTGGGAGATGTCCTTTAATTTCTTTCTTGATTAAA